CCCCCAAAACCCCAAAACCCCAAAACCCCTCAATGAAAGCATATTGTTGAATTTTATTTTAAAAATGGCATCAATTAAGGAGGTTAATGAGTACCGAGTGGTTCAAACTCTTTATAAATCAGATGAAGCCCACACATTAGTGGTAGCCAGTAAAGCTCTTCCGAAGATCTCTGAGGAGGATTTGAAAGTTATGAAATTAAGAAAGATACCTGGTAAAATCATTTTTGTTTGCCTATCATGGTTCATAAATGATGAAAATTATCCTGAAATCTAGTTTGGCAAATAAAATTTATTGATTAGTCCAATTCTTATTGATCCTTATCTAATTTTATGGTATAGCAAATAGGTAACAAAGAGCTTAGCGCAGATGTAGGCCCTGATATGGCGATCATAGCAGGGCTTAAACATAAAAATATTACACCTTATGAGAGATACTTTTTCACAAAAATTGAGAATACAACATACATAGCAGTTATAAGGCCATATTTCAAAACCAAGGTTTCTGATATTGCAGTTTTCACCAAGTTCAATGCATCAGATGGTGAGATATGCCTTAAAATGATTGAAGCTCTTAGCCATATTCATGAGAGATACTCCATGATGTTCACTCTGAAAGCATCCAATTGATTCATTGACTCTAATGGTGACCTACAGATCACTGATATTGGAGCACCATCGCTTGTGGAATACGAGCTTGAGAGCAAAGCTGAGTCTCTAAAGATAGCAATGTACACTCCTCCAGAAATAGACTGTGAGTTAACAGGAGGGAATTTCAAATTTGATATCTGGTGACTTGGAATCTTGTTCTACGAACTGTATATGAAGTGCCATCCATTCGATGCATCGACACCAAATGAAGCCCTCAAGTTGGTGAACAAGGAGTTTGTTGGTGTCGAACTTAACGAAGGAATTATTGATGATATTATCAGAGGATGTCTTAAGCAAAACCCTTCTGAGAGACTTTCTATGGGGAAGATAAACAAACATCTGAAAGAGCTTATTACTCAAGAAAATATTGTTCTTGAAGAATCTCGTCTTAGAAAGGTCAGCCCAAGGCTTGTCTCTAGAAGCCAGGACATCCGTGCGCAACATGATGAAAATTACATTGAAAGACTAGATGATCCTAGTGAGGAGGAGAAATTGGTGTCTCCCATTCCATGCATCAATAACTTCTTCAAAGTTATCAACAAAACTGGATTCTCTGAGAGGACATCTCAAGACATACTCTACAATCAGAAGATGCAGAGTGATGGAACCGACCGAAAGGAAAAGCTTAGGTGAGTAAACATAGCACATGATTGCCACCGTGGGCCTATTAACGGCATTGGTGTCCTAGACACAGGGATTCTAGTCACTAGTGGAGAAAACAAAGCTATCTGCTTCTGGAATCCAATGGATAATGATCTCATTGCCATTATCAATGAGAGTGGAAAAGTTGGTAAAATACTCACAATACCCAAAACGAAGGGATTTTACTATGTTCTTGGCAATGAAATCAAATTTTTTGATCCCACAATTGGGGCTGCAGAGGTGATCTACCAAGCTGAGAGCAATATTACATGCCTTGAGGTATTTCAAGACCAAAAATATGACAGTAAGTCTATCTGTATCGAATATAGTCTTCATCGTTGGTTTAAAGGATGGTACCATAGAACTTGTCAGCAGGACTACTAGAACTGTATCTTTAAGTAAATCGTTTCATTCTGGATATCCAGTAGTAGGAGTCAGTGGACAAGGAGATTACCTCCTTACTACAGGAAGAGATGACGTGGTAAATATTTACAACATGCGAACAAATCTCTTAGAAAGAGAACTTGATCTCAAGAACGCTTACCTTGATGGAGTCTCAGGAGTCCTCAAGATGCACCAAGACATTAAAGAAATGATAATAACAGATGGGCTATTTGGAATCTCTCTGTTCTCTTTTGATATAAACAATCCTTATAAAGAACATCCAGACATAAACTACCGTCCTGTGGCTCAGCTTTTCAGGAATGTTTCGCCAAACTCTGATCTATTTGGAGCAACTAGTGGGAAAGGAGTTGTTAAGATCTACCACAGTCAGCAAAATGAGGACGGATCCCAAAGTTCCTCTATCCGCGAAATACGGAGATTTAAAGGTCATAAGTCTAAAGTTACAGGCATTGCTTACTTTCAAGATGGTTCTTATGCCACCTGTTCGCTAGATGGGACCTATAGAATATGGAGTTCTAGGAAAGATGTCAAACTCATTGGGAAAGCTCCGGGTTATAACGGGTGCTGATCAAGTGAGAAATGAGTTATCCAATAACAGCTAGTTCTTTTTCAACAAAACTTGTCCTGAAAGGGGTTTTGGGGTTTTGGGGTTTTGGGG